TAGCCTTCAGTCAGGATTATACCTCAAGGTAAGGAAGACTGTGTTAGTCTGGGTTGACTAGAGAAACAAATCCAGAGAGACTCATGTTTATAAGAGCTTTATAGAAAGAGCAATTGTATATTGAGAAAGCATCCCAGTTCAGTCCACATCAAGTCCATTAATCTGATATTAGCCCCTATGGCCGATACCAGTCAACAATTTCCTCTCCAGACTCACGCAACACATGCAATGACACCAAATGCAGGAAGACCACAGGCCAGTGGGTGGAAAGTCTTATGGATCCAGTGGCAGTGGAAGCATCACAGGGCTAATGCAGGTCTCAGCCTGGCTCAACAGGAAGGTGAAGACAGGGGGGTAGTGGGGGAGTTTCCCGGACCCTCCTTTATGAGAAAGCCCTGCCCACAAGGAGGCACCATTAGGCTGTGACCTGACTGACAGGCTAGACTCCACCCCCACACTTTTATATCTTCAAGTTGATATGTTAGTAATGTCCCCATGTTCCCAGGGGCATTAATTGTGGATTGAAGTAAAACACAATCTCTGACAACTTCAATATTTTCTCCATTTTTAAAATAATCCTATTGGTCCAGTGAGGACGGTTCCCCCCTTGGGTCAGGGTATAACCTGTACTGAAGGTTGAGGTCTTCGACCTTCATCAGTGAGAGCTTCACACTGGGCTCACAAAAGGACATGGAATGAGGACCTCAGATGGATCTACCCCGAAAGCAGAGAACCCCAAAGATGCTTCCTGTGCGTATTTTCCAGGCTCTGCCAACACATCTCACGGCATGGATCATCACAAACCCTGAGTCACACGGGGAAGAGGGGGATTCCAGAACACGCCACCTTGTTCCCAGAAGGCTGCACAGCCACCAGGAGGCAGCCATTCAGGCAGCAGGAGGGGGTGCCGAGTGGTTTCTTTTGCAGCTGTGAGTCAGGGCCGTGCTTGCTGGGACAGCACTCCCCACGTCTCGTCTCATCTCAGCAAACCCACTGCCACAGAGCCCACTCCCATTCACGGCCTCTGGGGGCCTGCTCCTGGGGGCTTCTGAGGCGGAAAATTCTTCCCAGAAGTAGAAAGCCTCATGTTCCCCCTGACTAGCTTGATTGATGTTTGCTTTCCAGGTCATAAGAATAGCACCATGTCTCGTCGCCAGTAATGTGGTAGTCATATAATCGCTTGTCAATTTGAGAGGATTAAGAGTGTAGGGGTGAAGTCTAGCCTGTGGATCAGGCCTCTATAAGGACATGGCCTTCTCCTGAGGATTCTGGGAACTCCTGTCTTCCTCTTTGAAGGCAGGAGACACTCTCCCTCTCTGCCCACTCCCTGCAAGACATTTCTGATGATAAGCCACATGAAGCTACCCTGATGTCACCAGAACCCTGGCAGCTGGAGGAGCCATGTGGAGACCCCTGCCAGCGCTGAAATGCTTCCACTGCCACTGGATCCACAAGACCTTCCACCCACTGGCCTGTGATCGTCCTGCATTCGGTGGCATTGTATGTGTTTCATGAGTCTGAAGAGGAATTTATAGACTAGTCTCAGACAGATGGGCTAATATTGGACTTATGGACCTGATCTGGACTGGGCTGGGATGTTTTCTCCATATTCAATTGCTCTTGTACATAAAGCTCTTTCCTATACACATATGCGCATGAACTTGTTTCTCTAGTCCACCCAGACGAACACGAGCAATGACCTCGGGAAAAGAGTCTGGGTCACTTTGGAGCTGTTCTTTCGAAGCACAGCACATTTCCACCTGACACTCTTTTTCCTGGTCAGTCAGAACCCGAGGCACAAATTTCCCAGCGACCCTTCACACTCCCAAATTCTCCGTTAAAATTCTCGGAACCCAGCTCCAAGACAGTCCACATAACTTCCCCATCTCTTCAACGGTCCATCGTGGGTCTCTGAGCACAAGTGCACAAATTTCATTGACATGTTTGTCTGTTCGGGAAGTTCATGGAAGTGCAGGATGACGTTTGTCATGATTCGACACTTCACCACTTTTGGAACGAGAAACTCCCATAGCACTGTCCTTCTAACCTGTGGTCAGCATCACAACAGTTGCTGTGGCATCTTTCCCTGAGCAGGAAACAGGATTTCATAGCTGCATGCTGTTCTCTCAAATCGGTCATCACAAAAAACAAGGTGCAAGCAGGAACTGCTTTTATGAAAGAAAAAAAAATCTCTGACCAGAGAGACCCTCCCCAGGCGATGCCACTGGTTGCTCTAACTCAGATTGCGTGGCTCAGTGCTCGCCGAGTGGGGAAACATACCGTGGAAGCTCCACCCAGCAGAGCTTTTTCCTGTTTTGGGGGGGTATCCCTCATAAATGCACAAAGGGCATGCCACTGCGCTGTAAGCCTCCACCTACAGGCGGTCAGCTCAAGCTCAGTGAGTCAGCGAACTAGCTCCCCAAACTAAGGGCCCAGGGACACCCCACTCCAGTAAGCCTCGGCCTGAAGGCACTCAGTGGCACTGCTGATCTCCTTCCAATATTAGCCAACAAAGACTTTGGATCAGACCAGAACACTAACCGGAGGGCTTGCTTTGGGTGTGTGGTCAAGAAGCTGGTAGCTGGAAGAGGACATGATGCTTCCGGAAGGAGGGGTCATCGAGGAGGGAGACCCCTGAGACAGACCACACAGTGGCCACAGAGTCGGACCACACACGCCGCTGTTGGTGATGACACAGGACTGGGCCCACACATCCGGTCACCACGCCTCAGGGCCAACTCAACACCAGCCACCAACCTAGCGCGTTCTCTCGGCTGGAGGGGCCCTGGCACACCAGGCGATGCAATGAGCTGGTAGCCACAAGGTCAGTGGTTCAAGCCCACCAGCTGCCCCTCAGAGAGAGGACGCTGTCACTCCTGCCTGTAAAGATGTGAGGTCTCAGAGACCACAAAGGGCAGCTGTGGTCTGTCCTGCCTGGTAGCGGTGAGCTGGAATCGACTCAGTGGCAGTCAGTGTGGAGGGTTTAATTGGTGGCGGTGGTGGTGGTAGCCCTGTGGGTCAGGCATGGAAATAAATGGAAAGGCTTCTAGTTCAATGCCATCAGCTGGACCTTGGGAGAAAGACAAGGCTGTCGACCCCCATAAAGATTACAACAAACCCTGTGGAGGGTGCCTGTGAATTACAAGCAATTCGAGGGCAGTGGGTTTGGGGTGCACCTACCGTCTACTACTCACCTCCCTGGCTCTCCTCTCTCTCCGCCATCAGCTCTCAAGAAGCATTACTACCCTGTCCTGTGGCAGGATTTGCTGACCCTACTTTGCTTTCTTCTGGTCAGGGTGTGTGAGGGGGAGTGGGAAATGCTTCCTGGGGTCGATGGAAGATTAAAGTATTCATAATCATTTTTTAAAGCTTGTACTTATTCTCAACCGTCAAGTTAAATTAAACTTCCTCTTTAAAATACAGAAAGTAATTTCCATAAGGCTATTTTTGTTCATTATTTTCTGGTCCCCAAAAAACTGCATCCACTGCCTTCGGTCAATGCATAGCCCTGTGTAGGTTTCCAAGACTGTAAACCTACAAGCGCAGACAGCCTCCTTGTTCTCAGAGAGTGCTGCTAGTGGGTTTGAACTGCCAACCTGGCATTAGCAGCTCATTGCCAATCCCACAGTGCCACTAGGGCTCCTTCCCATAAATATGACACCCAGGAAGCCATCCCAGGAACCCAGAACCCCTGCTCTGTCACACGGGGCGTCTGAGTGGGAGCCCACTGAGCAGCCCCTAACCACCCCAGGGCTGCTGCCCGCCGGCACACAGAAGCCCAGTGGCGTCTGTCCACTGCGCGGTGCTGTGTGGTGCTTGCGGGCGGAGGCCTGCTGCTGGTCTGGCCTGTGCAAGCGGACCTGCTGATGGACGGATGGACATGAGGAGGCAAGGGGTGATGGGAAGATGGGGAGCTGTGGCCTCACCTGTCCTGTGGGGCAGACTGGGAGAATCAGACACTGCCTGCCACAGGCCTCTCCCAGAACAAGGGGTGCAGTGGCACCGTGCGTCAGGCCTCGAGATTGGGAACCACGCACCAGAAGGTCAGCGGTTCGGAGCCACTGGCCTCTCTGCAGGAAAGAGACGAGGCCCTCTGATCCGTCCAGATTCACAGCCCGGGAGACGCACAGGGGCAGCTCCGCCCCGTCTTGGGGAGGCAGACAGGTGTGGGGACAGGGTGCCAGCTCCAGCCCCGCCTACCCCACCCCATCTTGGGACCGAGGCTCTAGCACAGGTGAGGCGCATGCACCGACCCCCGTCCCCACCCCCATCTGCCGCGCGCCTGCGCACACCCAGCTTGGTTTTCACAAAGGACCCGGGCTCTGGGAAGGAAGCCGACTCGCCAGGAGGGCTGGTTTCCATGGAGACAGGATGGCTCCGATCACGTGTGACAGAGGCGGGGAGGAGTGGGGGCCGCAGGTGGAAGCACGTGGATGGAGTAGCACCGGGCGTGCAGGGCACGGCCGGCCCCAGGCCCCTCCTCAAGCCAGGAGGCCGGAGAACCGGTTTCACTGAGCTCCAAGGGTGGTGGCGCGGCGGGTTAAGCTCTCGGCCGCTAGAGGAAAGGTCGGGAGCTCGAACCCTCCAGCCGCTCCTTGGGAGACAGACAGACGGCGGTCTGCTCTCGTAAGGATGCAAAGGTGTGCACTGCCACCTGCCCCGCCACCTGCTGCGTGTGCCAGCACCGCGTGCTGCAGACGGGGCTTCTGCCCGGGTGCCCGCACTACCTGTGAAACACGGGGAGGGGCACCCGCCCAAAGACCGAGCCCCCGGGATGCGGGGGAGGGGTGTCTCCTGGGCATGTGCATGCTGGGGGGCGGGCTCTCCGGGGCTCCCGAGCCTGCTTCCCAGCGCCCCTCCGACAGAACACGCGGCAGAAGGGGCTGGCAATCGCTCCCACGGGGACCGGAGCCTTGGAAACCCGGGCAGCCGTCACGGACGGGGCGCGCTGCAGGAGGCGGTGGGCGCGCGTTCACAAGGACACACACACACAACCTTGGTTGGAGTCTCATTGATTTATAAAGCTGCGCTCATCGACGCCTTCGCCTGCCCCGCGGGGCAGTGAAACAATATGTGGGCTGTGCCCAAAATGCGTGTAAGCGACTCAAATAAAAATCAGAAAACTAGATTTTACTACTAAAAGGAGGCGCCCACATACCCTCGGGGTCCAGGCAGGTCCCCTTCTACAGTAGGAACTGTTACCCACAAGGTTGTTGGGCGCCCCTCTGGCTCTGATTGGTTGTCAAGTGGCTAAGATTGGGGATCTCTTCCTTTATGCCCGCTTGGGTGGGGGGGGGTGACACACGGGCAGGGGCACCTTGTCTGATGGGTCGGCCAGCGGGAAAGGAGGAATTCCTACTCAAACGTGGGACCTGACCAGCCACCCCAGCCTCCTAGGGCTCCAGAAAGGCGGTGGGGAAGCCACACCCCTGCAGTCATGGGAGACCCTGGGGTGACAGGGACTTGCTGTAACTGTGGCCACAAGTGAACGAGGGGACTGACCCTGGGGTGTCCACCCTGCCACTTCGCCGGGCCTGTGTGGGGCTTCTGGGAGCTATGGGGTCACTTTCTCGAGAACAGAAGCGTAGCCACCCTGGCCACTTGTCCTGGGGAGTTTCATGCATGGGGGTGGTCTCAGGGGCACAGGGGAGGGCAGGGGTCAGCCAGCACCCCCTCACTGCTGGAGCAGTCAGTGTGAATGCTTCCCAGTGTGCATCCATCTTCCTGTCCTGTCAGCAGCGTCCAGACGGGGGTGGCCACAGAGAACGTCACACTGGCGCCATCCAGCCTAAAGCTGTGGAGGGAACAGGTGAACGGAGAAGGAGACAAAGTGCTCGCACAACAGGCAACCTGGCAGCCCTGCCAGCTCGGCTCATGCTAACTGTCTCCTGAGGATGAGCACATGCCTCAAGTTTCTGACGTGCCCCTCAGGGGAAGGGAGCAAAGGGAGGGCCCCTTTTGGCGTGATGTGCCATGCACTCTCTGTAGCGCTGGGCCCACGGAACATGCAGCGAGCTGCCTCCCTGACGGACACTTCCTTTGCCATGACCCCGAAGCGCTAGATGGTGTCCAGCTACCAGCGCTGTATGTTCTGATCCTAGATTCTACAGCCAAATCCTGATGAAAAGGCGGGGGAAACACCCAACAGAATTTCAAATGCTCCCAGGAGCCCCGAGAACTGGATAGACCCCTGAGACTACTACCCTTAGCCTGTCACCCTGTAAAATGAAAACATCCAGAGTCGTCCTCAACCCCAGCAACAACGCAGCTGAGCTGGTGGGAAGGCCGGCCTTCAGCACTGGGGACAAGGCCTCAGTTTGTCTCCGTGGGGTCCAACCGCAACTGCAGCAGGAAGTCCCACAGGGCTCTCAGGAACGTGAGCGCAAGATATGGGGGAGGAGCAGCCCTGGAAAGGGGGCGGGTGGCTGCACAGGTCAGGGGCCACTCACACGCCGCTGGGCTGGACACGGGGTCACTGCTGATTGTGAAAGTAATCTATTTTAAAGAGGGGGCAGGCCGTGATAGAACAGATCTTGTTTTTTTAACTAACAAACGCACACGTGGTGGCATGGACGGCAGTGAAACGCAGGAGCGTGTTAAAGGCATGGCAGCAGCGTGGCCGCGTGGCCCTCTCCTTCGCACCTCAGAAGGATGAGAAGCGCGTGCCCCGCTTTGGAAGGCTGGGGAGAGGCGCCAGCAGCTGTGCGCGGCCTGTCCATCAGTGAACGGACACACTGCCTGATCGTGACTGCAGGACAGAGGGCTGTCCCGGGCTGCCATCTTTCCAGGAGTGGACGGCTTCAGCTTTCCCCCGAGGAGCAGCTGGGAACTTTGAACCCCCGACCTTCTGGCTGGCAGCCAAGTGCTCAACCACTGGGCCACCAACAAACCAAATCACTGCCACCGGGTCAATTCCAACTCCCTGTGCAGGGATGCTCACTGGGGCACCTTCACCGGAGCAGCTGGGGGGGTCTGCACCGCTGACCGAGCAGCCCACGGCCCAGCCCACACCACCCCTATGCCACCAGAGCCCCTCATTGCCCAGGCTCGAGGGGCAGGCTGGCCCCCATGCCCACAGGCTTCTGGGTAATGAGGCGAGAACACCCATGTCCCTACACAGCTCCATGTCTGATGCCATCAAGCAACCCCCACTTGTTCTTTTCTGTAAACACCTGCCCAAATGGCCAAGGTGCTGGTGGTGCAGCACTGGAGCCCTTGAACTCAAGGGCGAGACCCCACCAGCCACCCCTCAAAGGGAGCCCCCGGGCTCAGTGATTATACGGTAGGCTATGAATTCCAAGGTCAGTGGTTCAAACCACCAGACCCTCCAAGGGAGAAAGATGGGGCCGTCTACTCCCGTTAAGAGTGACAGGCTCAGAAACTCACAGGGGAAGCTGTGCTCTGTCCTGCAGGGCCACTGTGGGTCAGAACCAGCCAGAAGGAAGAGTTTGGTCATTGGTGTTTGTAGCTGCTCCCCAGGAGAAAGAGGCATGAGGTCATCCCCCTCTGTAGAAATGGCCCCTGGGGCATTCCTATGCAGTCACACAGGGCTCTGCTCGGTGGTTCCGCCCGACCCCACAGGGAGTCATAGAGAAGGCTGACCAGATGGTCGAAGCCCAAAGCCCAGTCTTGGTGGGGACCAGGGGGCAGAGCTGGCACAGACCCACCTGTCTTGGCATCATCCCCGGAGTCCCCTGCGGGCTGCTCGGCCACACGTGCCCGTGGGAGGAGGCTGAGGTCCAGCAGCGGTGAGCACGGTGTCCGCAGCATGCCACAGCCGCCTCTGGACAGGATAGAACATCGTCAAACACATCTTCAGGAGGACGGCGGGGCGGGCAGGCGGCCAGTGCCCCTCAAGACAGTGACCAGCCACCCAAGTGCCTGCTGGCCCTGGCTCACAGCCCAGGGCTTCACTTCAGGGTCACTAGGTGCCACCCGGCAGCAGAGCTGCCCGTCGGGTCCCCGGCCCTCGGGAGTTCCCCCCAGGAGCTGCGTGAGTTTCAGCAGACCATCTTTCAGTGAGCTGCCGCAGTGCCTGCAGGTGGCCCACAGCGCCTCCTAAACACATGGTCAAATGCGAGACCCCATTGTGCCAGCTCAGACTCAAAGCCCTGGTCAGAGAGCCCAGGGTGAGCGGAGAAGCCCGGACATGGGAACAGGGTGCATCGAGGGCTGAGCCTGTCTTGTCCGGCTGCAGCAGGCATGCCACTGGCAGCAATGCATGGGGGCAGCCTCCATGGCTAGGCACAGGAGAGCCAGGAGCCGACTGGCCATCCCTCACCAGCACCGGGTCTCACCTGTGGGCCGCCACCCCCAGCAGGGACCAAGGGCTGGGCCCCGGATGCTTCTTACAGAACCTCCAGTTGTTCTGAAGGACCTCCGAGATCTGAAACACACACGAGGCTGTCACTGCCACCCCAATCCCGCCCAGCTGGTGGACACAACTTACCGCTGCCCCATCCTGCCCGCCATCACCGTGGCTGATCTGGTAGAGCCAGGTGCTGCGGCCACCGGCCACCGCTTGTTCTGAGGGGCCTTCCAACCCAGGAGGAGCGCTCGTTGCCTAGTGGGTAATGGAGCTGCTACAGCCAGAGTCAGCAGTTCAAACCCACCAGCCGCTCCTCAGAAGGAAGACGAGACTGTCTGTTCCCATAAATAACGACAGTCTTGGAAACCCACAGGGGCAGTTCTACCCGTCCTGCAGGGTCACCGGGAGGCAGACTGGGCTCAATGGCAGGGAGTCTGTTGACCTTTTGTCCTGAGGATAAAGTCCGAGGGATTTCCACGGCCTCACATGCGTGTGAAAGCGGGCACTGAATAAGGGAAACGGAAGAAGGCCTGTGCTGCTGGAGACGCCTGTTGGAAGCGCCACCATCTGTTACAGGACATCGCTCCCATCTGTCGTGGAAGAAGTCTGGCCAGACTTGCTCTCACATACTTTGGACATGTTGTCAGGAGAGACCTGGCCCAGGCGGACACCTCGTGTTTGATAGAGCGGACGGACGGGCGGACAAGGTGAGGCAGGCTCTCGACCAGATGGACATAGTGGCATAGTGGCTGCAGCAATGGGCTTGGGCTTGGGGACAATGGTGAGGCTGGCGCAGGGCTGGGCAGTGCTTCCCTCTGCTGTGCACGGGGTCCCTGTGGGCCAGCACCCACTCAGTGGCACCTGCTAACAAATCTACCAAATATGCCACCCCCGCCACCCCTACGGCTTGGGGTCCAGTACCTGCCCCATCACGGCCGGGGGGATCCTCTCGCGGACGCGCTGCATGTGCTCCACCGTGGCCTCGAGGACGGAGGCCATGTCGTTCTTTCTCCCCTTCTGATGCGGCAGCAGCAGACGCAGCTGGTCACAGCACTCCTTGATCCGCTCCCTGGGGGTGTCACGGGTGCTGAGCCTCACCTGCCTGCTGGCTGGCACACAGAGAGCCCGACCTGCGTCTGCCCCACCCACCCCAGCACTGGGGCTGCCTGGGGCCCAGGGGCCACCCAAGTGACCCCCTGGGAAGCCAGGGCACCAAGAGTCCGAGTGACCTGATGGCAGTGTAGGCGTGCCAAACACACAAGGACCGTGGTCCAGAGGTCAGTTCTGGGGTGGCTGCCGCCCTTCCCGCTTGGGTGGCTTTCCGGAGGCGGCCTGGTGTGCTCTAGACAAGCTGTCGCCTGATGATCTGCTTGGCCGGCTGTCTGCCCAGGAGGCTGAGGCAATGACCGCAGGGGGCTCCCCAGCATTTCCCACCCCCGTCCCGCCCCAACGCCCAGCAGAGCTTCTTACATGGCTGTCGGACGGCCAGGCTTACTCATCTTACGTAGGATCTTAGCAATATTGCCAACAACAAAAATCAGGAAATTCATTGAAGTCATTTCTCCCAAACAAGGAGGATGCTGGCAAGTAGCAGTGTCAAAAAGGCCCCTTCTCTCTTGCCGGACAGGCTGAGACGGGAGGACTCCCACAACCACTGCCTTTGGGTCAGCGGCAAATTGGCCACTAAGGCCCGGGCCGGCTCCCAGCTAAGTGCCGAATGGCCTCTGGCCTCCGGGAGCCTGAGCTGCGGGGAAGCCTTGACTGAACAGCGGCTTTTCTGATTGCCTTGCCGGGAGATGGGGGGCACCCAGGAGTGGGTGCACGCGCGTTTACAGTGCTGAAAAGACACCCACGAGGCAGCAGGACCGCCATGTTGGGGGACCCCAAGGTCAACGGGCACGGCGTGGTTCAAAGGACCACGTTCTACACCCTGCTTTGGGGACTGGCCGCTGGGATCTCAGCCCTAATGAGAGCTCCTCTACTGTGGTGCAACGACTGGTCTCTCCAGAGACAGGAGAAAGACTACAACTCTAAATGCACGGAAACAATTGGACCAGTGGTCCCCTCAGCCCAGACCAGAAGGACTAGACGGTGCCCAGCCACCACGACCAGCTGCTCTGAGCAGGATCACCTTAGAAGGTCCTAGATACATGAAGTGGGAGAAGAAAATATATAACAAATTGTGAGGGACCAGGCTGCCTGGCCAGATAGCGACGGTGGGACCCGGGACTCCCCCCCACGCCCCATGACTGTGGCTCTGAGTCTCCCACCAGGTCTGGCACTGAACTCAAGCCTTGCGTTAGACTCTTCGACTCTTTGGGACCAAAAGGGCAGCACTGACCCACAGACGGCATCCCCAGGTTCAGGAGGGAGGAGGGTGGAAACAGGGCCCTTGCGGGGAGGAAGGGGGAGGAGGGGTGGCGGTGGGTGAGCCGAGTGCGCTGCGGGCCTGGCCCGCGGTCACAATGTGTGAAATCACCTTCTCAGCTTCTCCTTGTTGGAATGGAGGTGAGAGTTCAGCTGGCCCTTCTTGAAGCCAGAGCGTGGAGGCCTGACGTCACCTGCCGATTCAGAGCTGGAAAGAGAGAGCCTCACGTCACAGGTGCACGAGAAGAGCCATTGCAGCCACGCGTGACACACACACACACACACACACACAGACACAGACACACCCCGGGATGCTCTGGGAAGTCACGCACTGGTTGCACCAAGTGCTCTGTGCTTGCTTCAGAATGTTGTATTTCCGACTGCCCCCTATCATAAAGAAGTCAGGGGCTAATAGGCTGACGGAGAGTGGCGGGCATGTCACCCACTGCCGAGGAGTCTTGGGGGGCTGTAGCATCTCCATGGGACTCGGCAGAGCTGCCCCGCTGGGTTTCAGAGGCTGTGATGCGTGTGGGAGCACACGTCTCCAGTGGAGGCTGGTGGGCTTGAACCGCTGACCTTGCAGCTGGCAGTGGAGCCTCTAACTGCCACGTCCCCATCTGGGCTTCTAACAGGCAGCAGGCTTGGAACACCCTGACCACCCCAAGTGTGGCTTCTTCAAAGCACGTGGCATCCACAGAAGCCCTAGAGACCACTGGTTCAGTGCTGGAACCCACGCCTGGGGAACAGCCTGCAGGTCTGCGACCCCGAATGTCACCTGGGTCACTAGGAGCCACACGGACTCGACAGCACCTGACCCCGACCACAACCATGCACGCCTCCCGTTCCTGTCCCATCACCAAAGGGCTAATCCTCCCGCCCACACCCACCCCCCAGAAACTGTCAACCCAGGGTGTTTTCTGGCTCTGCTGTTTTGCCGAACTACTGCAGGAATTCTGATGACAGTAGAAGAAGGCTCTTTCCCTGGTGCATCTGCAAACGGATCTCCACCCCAAGGCGCGTCTCCCGAGCGACTGACTCGACTGGACTCGCCTGTCTGGGCTTACGGTGGCGGGAAAGCAAGTGATCGACAAGCGGTCGCAACCCGCCTCCCCGTGGTGAGCGAGGAAGAGTGAAGAAATGGACAGAGAAGGCGGCCGTGAGCCCAGAGGACAGTGGACTGGACAAGCCAGAGACCAGAGGACTTAGACGGTGCCCCACGCGCTCCACATCTTCACAACGGGAGGGAGAAAGAAACAACAATGAAACTCAAAACCCTACAAGAGGGTCAGACTTGCCAGCCTGGCAAAGGATTGTGGGGCCCGGGACGGTGGCCTCAGACATCCAATGTGCCTGGAACCAACCCCGCCCCAACCATTCACGTTCAATCAATAACAGTGGAAGCAGTGAGGCCCTCAGAGCCAGCACCTCCGGGAGACACCCAACAGGCAAGGTTTGCCCCCAAACAGCTCAGAAGAGAGGAAGGGCAGGAAAAGCAGACGGATGGAAACGGAGACCTGGAGAGGAAGGGGGGCGGTGGCATCGCAGAGACTGCAAACGGAACTGGGCGGGAAGCTAACACGCTCTGCCAACGCTGCTGTCCGCGCTCCAAGGCAAACGCATGCAATCCCGAGGAGCACAACACGCAGGGGGCCTTTCTCGTGTCTCTGCGCTGCTCATCCTGGCCAAGGCTGGAGTCAGCGAGAAAATACCGTCCAGGTGAAACTGCTCAGGAAGACCACCAGGAAGGTGCTGGCGTTTCGGCCCCACCAAGGTGGGGGTCAGGCGCTCCTTGGGAGAAAGACAGGGCTCGAAACCCACAGGGGCAGCTCTGCCCGGCCCTGCAGGGTGGCTGAGTCAGCATTGACCCGGCAGAGTGTTTCCAGTCAAGGTGAGCTCCCTATGGTTAGTCACACGGGGTGGCTGTCAGGCCCTCACTGGTGCAGCACAGCAGATGGTCGCATGTCTGTTCATAGCTGCTGACCACCATCGGCCCATTCTGGAAGTGACTCAGACCCTGACCATCGGCCACTGCTGGTCTCAGCAGCTGCGCCCCGCGCCCCGACGCTCAGTTTAGAAGCTGGGGCGTCGGCTTCCGGCGAGCATCCCTGTGACTCGGCACACAGCCCTTAAAGGGGGGGAGGCCTGACGCCAGCTCAAAAGACTGACCAGGCAGGTCTGACTGCCCGTTCTAACACTGGGACAGAGACGTACCGACAGACAGACGGTCACCATTCTTGGGTTCCACCGCTCGTACTCTGACCTGTTACTCTTCTTGTCCATTCCAAGTCAGTGACCCACAGCACCGAGCAGAACGCCCCCAGGGTGTCCTGGGCAGTCACCAGGCAGGGGCTGCTGGCCAGGACTATCTCCTACGGAATCGCCGGCTGGGCTGCAACCAGCGATGGCAGTGGATTGGGCTTTTCGAGAGCTGAGCTCACAGCAGCTTCTCCAGAGAAAGGCCTCCCCCCCGCACCCCACTTGGAGAACCTGGGGGGAAGTTCCACTCCAGCACGGCGGAGGGGGCGTTAGGAGCCAGAACTGAGTCTGTGGCACCAGTGAGCTTGCTGCTGGGAGACAGGAACCTCCTGTCCATTTCCTTCTTCAGCCTAACTCTTTACTGTGACTCAAGAGTTTACCGGGCTTTGCGGGCATCAGTCCACCTGCTGCCCCACCCAGAGATGGGGAACGGAGCACGTCTCAGCATCACCTGGCCCTCAGTGGGCCACCCGGGTGCTTCCTCCCTGTGGGGCGAGTTCACCCTCTCCCCACTTACCAACATGGTCAGAGACCAGAGACCAGGTCATTGGGAGAAAATGGAAGAGCACCACATCGTTACACAACTACCAAGGTACAGACTTTTCTAAGTGCCAAATGACATCACTACATAACTGCCAAGCCACTGAGCACGCGGCCCAGCCAAGAGGACACAACTAAACCATCCGTCAACCATACACTCCCTCACCCACGGGGTTCCTGACCACCAGGCCCAGTCGCTAACAGCCGTCGGGCAGCATGCGTGGGCACTGTTGGTGTCAGCACAGCACACTGAGAGGAGACAGTGGCCAAGTGAGGGGAGGACAAACTTATTGTGTGTGTCCACTGGTCATGGTGCCTGCACTGGTCATGATGCATGCACTGGTCAGTGTGTCCACTGGTCATCGTGTGTCCACTGGTCAGGTTGTCCACTGGTCATGATGTGGCCAATGGTCATGATGTGTCCACTGGTCAGTGTCCACTGGTCGTGTGTTCACTGGTCAGTGTGTCCACTGATCATTGTCCACTGGTCATGTGTTCACTAGTCATCATGTGTCCACTGGTCATGGTGCCTGCACTGGTCGTGGTGTGTCCACTGGTCATTGTATGTCCACTGGTCAGTGTCTACTGGTCATTGTATCCACTGGCTATGATGCCTCCACTGGTCATAGTGTGTCCCCTGGCCACAGTGTGTCCACGTGTCATGGTGTGTCCACTGGTCATTGTATGTCCACTGGCCATGGTGCCTCCACTGGTCATAGCGTGTCCACCGGCCATGGTGTGTCCACTAATCATGGTGTCCACTGGCCAGTTCCTCCACTGGCCACAGTGTGTCCACTGGTCATAGTGTGTCCACTGATCATGGTGTGTCCACTGGGCATTGTGCGTCAACTGGTCAGAGCGTGTCTGACACACAGCTCCAGGCTCTGAATCCCAGCAGAGCCGGCCCTCTTATGAACTGGCTTCTTCCTTTCCTGGTGTCCCGTTCCCACATCAACACCCCACCGGCTGAGAACCGCAGGGCTGTTTCCAGTGACAAGCCCACAGAAAGCCCTGCCATGCAGACAAGGTGCGAGGGACTCACGGCGTGTCCAGCCTGGGAGAGCAACGTTCTCGCTGTTCGCCGCAGGGCCTCTGAGGGGGCAACGCCGGTTCTCCTGGCCGTGCTGAAGCCGCATCCCCAACTGAAAGTCCAGAGAGGGGGTGTTAGTACTGACATCGTGAGCACCAGCCCATCACGGTCGGTGACCCCTGCCTGCGCAGCAGGCTGCACAGATCAGTGCTTTTCAAACCAGAAGGCGGTGCCCAGGTCCGAGTGTGGGCCCAGTCTGGACAGCAAACAGGAGCAAGAGCTGAGGATGCACCCAGACACTGTCTCCTGCCGGCAGTCGGACTCATGGCCCGGGACCCTGAACAAGGTCCCTCTGAGCTCTGCCCATCGAGCCCTGGCAGCGCAGGGGGTAACCACCAGGCATCAACTGAATGGTCAGTGGTTCAAACCCAGCTGCCACTCTATGCGAGAAAGGTGAGGTTGGACGCTCCCATAGAGATCAGCTGCCGGGGGTGGGGTGGGGGGCAGTTGACGCCGTCCCTGTGCCGAGTCAGAATTCCGTGGTCGGGAGGAGCCAGACTCTTATGTTTTGGTTTATTTAAAGGCCAAGGTCAGAGGCAGAAAATGCGCTGTCTTCCGTGGGCAGCTGCCTTAGCAGAATGCGACCACGAGCACCGTTTCTGACCTCAGCTGCTCTCCTGAGGGGAAGGCAAGGCGACAGCTGAAGCGGACGGGTTGGCGGCAGGGGCAGGGCCGCAGGGACAGGAGGCCAAGGGCAGCTGCTCTGTTCCCACAGAGAACTAAAGATGGACTGTAGGAGGGGTACTGGCCATCGTCGTGGTCAGCCATTTCCAGGAAGAATGTTCGTTCCTCAGGGGCTGGGAGGGATTGGATGCGAGAACCCAGACGTGTTAATCCTCCCAAATGCTACACAGGACCCTGGAGAAGGGCGTGTCCATGCTGTCTCGGACAGCCTGAAGTCACACGGGAAGCCCCTTGTGTTCCTTAGTCCCACCGCACAGGAGCGCACATCTGAGGTCACCCAGGACGCGCCTATCGTGTTCCTCAGATCCCCTGACAAATACCAACGTTTCCGAGGGCTCCCTCAGTGCCCCAGCCTCCAAGGCCCATGCTCACTGTCCAAGGGTGCTTCCAGGGCAAGTCCCTCCCAGCAATCAGAACCCAGCCCCTCCCAGGTCGAACGAAAGCTCATTTAATTACGGGTCAGGTGCCGGGCTACCCTACTCTGATGAGTCCCTTCCGGCTCTCTGCTACCTTGCAGGGCAGAGCAGAACTGCCCCCTGGGGTTTACAGTACATCTTTACAAAACCTCCTCTCTCTTCCCCGGACCAGCTGCTGGGTTCGAACTGTCAGCAGCCCAACACTGGCCTAAACACCTTGGGCACAGGAACCCAGCCGCACTGCAGCACTGACACACACCGTGAGTCTGAACCCAGTCGGAAAGGACAGCCACGCTGTCGGCGAGAAGCAGAGCTCACTATGTGCAAAGTGGGAGAACAACACTGTTGTTTGTAGCCATCGAGTCGGGCCCGGCCTCGGGCCACCCTAGGCACCCTGTGACCCAGGGCTTTTCCAAGGGCTGGTTCCTCGGGTCCTGCGAAGCAGCCCTGGCTTTTGGACAGGCACACGGAAACACCGCACCATGCATTCCAGGCTCAGGGCCCAGGAGCGGAGGCCATTCTCCACAGAAAGGACAGTCACCCCCCGGCCACGCTGGCTGGGTCTGTCCGTGATGGCGAGGGATGATGTCAGGGGTGGGGGTGGGGCCCAACCTACATTGAAGCTTGATGACTCTCCGTGTGGGTAAGAGAGAGAACGAGGGAACAGAATCCGAACTCTCTTGCCCCCTCGCCTTCTGCTGGGGCTGGGCCTGGCATCTGGTGCCTTCATCTCCTGCTACAGCGCCTGCCAATCCCAGGAGCCTGCGGCAGACTGTCACCGGGAGATTCGTTCAGCCGACTCTGGACCTCGGCATCTACCAGCCTGTGCCCCTGCCGTCGGTCTCTGCCTCATCACCCTGCTTCCTGTGCCTCGCTTGCCTGGGTCAGGAGACTGGCTAGAGCCGGACAGGACTGACCTGTTTCTACAGCTGTGAGAGTCATTTCCTGTTGGTAAATCTCTTTCTATCCACCACACATACAAACGTCACCGGTTTTGAGATCCGTAAACCCTGGGGACCCCCTCCCACCCGTAAACCACACACTTCCTTATCAGACTCGCCACGAATAGTAAGGAGAATAAGCCCCAAAGACACTGCTGACAAAATCATCGAAACCTTAAATAAAACATCCAGGAGCGAAGCACCAGGCGCTCAGTGGAACCTCCGCCCGGGTCTGTGCACTCCGAAAGCGGGGCTCGTCTCCCCACCTTCCCTGGAGATGCCGCCCTCCTTCCTGGAGGGACCCAAACTGGTGCCTTGTCCACGTGCTTTGAGCTTGAGAAACAAAAAGAAGTCCCAATAGGCAAGATCGGGGCTGCTGGTGGGAGCCTCGCTCCCTCCGAGAACGAGCAGGTGCCTTGTTGCGCCGAAACAACTCGGTGATCCATTTCCTTAAAACGTTCACAATGAGCCCCTGTGAACATCTTGTCCTGCAAGCCCCCAAACAGCCACCGTCACCCTCGGAGCTGACTGCTCTGCCTTGAACTGCACTGGCCCAGCAGAGCCTGCAGGCTGCCGACAGGACCCAGACAGACAGGGCTCAGCCCCGATTCCTTCCGACCTTCCCTCCGACTCCCTGTTTTTGATACTTCAGCCATACAGTCTATCCTTAGTATGCAGAAAACAAACAGAAATTCTATCAATAACCGATTTAAAAGGTATACATAGAATTTTCATGGGAACTTTCAAACCTTTGGGAATGAATTTTTTTCACTCACCTGTTTTCAAGAAGCACATTTTCCAGTAATTGACCAGAATCTTCACCTTCTCCATCGTCAGCGGCTCTGTCAGAATGATGTCAGCCCCATGCCCTGAAATACAATCTAAGGATTTTCGGACTTAATGTTGGACTTCCACTCTGTACTCAGAGAAAGTCATAATAGGGGTGACATATCCCCCACGTCCTACCTTCAAAGTTTTCAGGAATTATAAGAACAAACAGCAGGTGCGCATTTTCCGTCTTGGCAGCCCTGCAAGGGGAGGAAACCGTCTACATGAGACCGAACCGTCGTCAAGAAACGGGTCCAGCAGTTTTGCTCAGTAGAGGCCAGGCGCCAGGGTTTGCCTCCTGAGTGTAACACTGGGTCAGTGTGGACATCTCGTCCATACTTTAAAGGAACAGTTGGAGATCTGATGAAGACCCTGGGTCTAGCCCCCCATTTCTTCAAGGTTCAGGAAAAAGGGCATTATAGAGGGATGCTCCACGGGGCGCAGCAGGCTGGGCACTGTGTTGCGCTGCCCACTGCACGGTCAGTGGCTCAAACGCGCTCACAGGGAGCAGCAGAGGTCGCCAGCTCACAAAGTTACGCATCCCAAGCCCCACAGGGCAGTTCTTCTGTCCTGCAGGGCCACTGTGAATTGGCGTCAACTTGACAGCAGAGAGGTGTTATGGGCCGAGTCCAGTGTGTGAAAGTCTGTGGACAGTAGCCTGGGTCTTGTCGCTCTGGGGTCGGGGGCACAGTTCTGCTCTGTCCACAGGGGTCACCGAGAGTGGCCACTGACAAGAAGGGCAGGGCAATGCTGATGGCCACACTGCAGAATGGCCCTAACCTACGGCATTGAAACGTGTGTGTGGCAACTGTCCACCTGAGCAGTACTGCTCCGTTTGATATAAAGGCTTGTGGGAAATGCTGCCCCTTGTGTCTGTGTATGAACACACACTATACACATACACAGAGCCACACAGACACCCATGTATGTGCACACCCACGTGTACACACCCACACACCCACATATACACACATCCACTCAATACACACACGTACATACCCATGCCCACATATATACCCATATGTACACGCACAAGCACAGAGCCACATACACACACATACGTATCCACATATATACACACCCACAACCACATAAACACATGTACACACACATACACCCACATAGCTACACACATGCATAGCCACATACACACACATACATAGCCACTTACATACACACCTACATCCCCACATCCCCATATGAATACACACATATATCCACATATGCACACATAGCCACATTTCACACACATGACAGGCAGACATTTTCCCACAACTTTCTGAAGTTCCCTCTTGGTGTCTATATGTGTATATACAAAACAATAAGCCAATATTTTAACCACCTGAACTTTTTGTCTGATACATAGCAAGGAAAGTGGAGAGGAAAAGAAAAAAAGCAGTAGGATGGAAGTTCGAATTCTCTGTAAATTGAAAGTTAAGAAAACAACAACACATTAGGTGGAGCAGGGAGCCTGAACTCCAACAGCTGCCTGCCATGTGGAGGAATTGGGAATCAGGCAGCTGCAGGGGTGAATCAGTAGCTTGGCTCAATTACTGGTAAAAAAGTCTTATCCGGCGGGCGGTGGGCTCATGGAGGATTCATGGGTGAGACGATAAGAATCCTTAGATCTGCTTTAGGATAACCGAAGGGTAGGCAGGAGGTGGGGGGCGGAACAGATGAAATAAAATCGATCCTTCACTGCTAGCTCGTGAGTGCTGAAGCCGCGCACTCACGAAGGCCATTAGACGACTCTCCCGCCTTCCTGGGTCTACAACGCTCCACTGAACATGGGACTATCCTCAACTGCATTGGGGGTCTACTTGACGGGGCTGTAGCTCACGGATAAGCCCTGGCAGCACAGGATCAAGTGCTCGGCTCCTAACTGTAAGAATGGTGGTCAGGATGTGTGGCTCAGCGGGTCTCCCCGTGTGGCAGCTAGGGCTCGCTCACCTGATCATGGCCACCACCTCCAGCTCCTCGGCCATCGACAGAGATGTCGTCCTCAAGAAAGTCATGCTGAACGCACCGCTGGCCAGACACTCCGCTGCCCTCTCCACGGCGCTCACGGTGACCTCGGCTTCGGCCAAGCGTGACAGGAACCTCTGCAGGACTTCGGCCAGGCCCACGGCTGCCACGCCGCCGACCAGGATGACGTTGATCCTGGCCTGGGAGGGAGGGAGGGAAGGCGCGCTGGTGGCTCATGCAGTCACGCCCTGGCCCCGGAGGATGGGGCACCAGGGAAAGGGCCGCTCCAAAGGTCCTGAAGGGCCCTGGTGGCACTGGGGGTGAGCGCAGGGTGGGTAACACAAGCCCACCAGGGGCTCCTGGGAAGAAAGACAAGGCTGTCTGCTCCCGTCAAGATGTATGGCCTCCGAAGGCCTAGGTGTTAAGGGTTGGCGAAGACCACTGAAAGAAAGTACCACGGCCTGCCCGAAGAACAGGCAGGTCTCTCCTACCACGGCCTGCCCGAAGAACAGGCAGGTCTCTCCTACCACGGCCTGCCCGAAGAACAGGCAGGTCTCTCCTACCACGGCCTGCCAGAAGAACAGGCAGGTCTCTCCTGGCAACAGGTCCTGTCTCCTGTCCTTGTGGACATGCAGTCCAGAGAGGCCAGTCCTGGATGTCAGACATCGTTCTTGATAAAGTCCAGGGGCCTTGAAGGGGGCGGCCCTTGATGGCAGTGGACGGTTGCAGCATAAGGACATCGGGAGGGTGGCGCCGGGTCTGCTGGGCAGTGTTTCCTTCTGTGCTGCATTTTGGGTTGCTGAGTTAGGACCAACCCGATGGCAGTGGGTACCCTAGATTGTCTACTCTGCCCTACTTACTTAAATGCCTACGACCACAGTGGCAGCGGGGCCCCCTCTGGCTGCAAAGCAGAACGCAGCTTCTCAGCAGCCCAAGGCTGAAGCCGCAAGGCAGAGGTCAGACAGACGGGCCTCCACCTCCAGCCTCTTGACCCTCGTCTGCCACCAACCTGTCCCCCACAGCACTCTGCCTCTCTGCCAGCCCTCTGCTCTGTGCATGGCCTCGAGGAACTCACAGACCACACTCAGGTCTACAAGGTTGGCCAGCAAGGGTCACCGGTGACCACGAGCCAACATGGAATAGAGTAAGGATCCAGGCACTGGCCCCCAATAGCAGCCACTCTTGAAGGAGCCGCAGGCTCTGGCCTCCGCCGCTCAGGCCTGCAGTCCCTTGTCCTCTGCCACCTGGGCACTGCTCTCCATGTGGCAGGTCCACTTCAGGCAGGGGTCTCAGGGAGCACCCCTGGTCATCTTCTGCCTCCATGGCGTCAGGAATTCTCTCTCCCTGCTTCCCAGAGGGCCTCATCGCCAGGGGTGCGGGTGGGGAGGGGTGCAACGACAACTGACCAGTCCCCTCCATTCCCATTACTCGCTGTTTGCACGTCCATGATGGTGGGCGTCAGAGGCGTGGAGAGAAGGGCCTGATTAGGAAATCCCACTCCACCACACTTGCCCCTTAACTGGGCAGTTCAAACCCACCAGCCGCTCAGTGAGAAAAGGTGAGGCCCGTGGCCCTGCAAGTGGGCAGCCTCGGGGCCTGCAGGGCCCTCGGTGGGCCGTAGGGTTCTCTGCTCTCTCTCTGCAGCCAGAGCGGACTTCTCTGGTCCTTGGGTCACGGTCACCCTGCAGGTATCACAGCAGGGCCAGGTCATGTCCACAGGCCTCTCTGCCATGGTGCCTTGGGGTGGGTCAGACAGTGAAGCTCTCGGTCAGCAGCGAGG